GGAAGGGAGGGGAGGGGAGGGGAGTTCAGCAAAATCTAGAATAGGGAAAATTTTACAGGGCAAATGACTCACATTCTTCAATAGATAAACAGCAAGAAAATTTTTACGAAACCAGAGAGGGATGGAGAATCTATAGATTGAAAGAGTTAAGAAATCTCATTGATTCAATATAACATGTGGGCCTTATTTAGACCCTAAATAAAGCAAACCAAGTATTTAAAAAATGAATCAGGGAACTCTTGACTACGGAAGAGATATTTAAAGATATTGCATGAAGATATTAAGGAACTGTGTTAATGTTTTACACATGATATGCTATTATGGTTATATATATTTTAAAACAGTCCATATCTTTTAGATACTCTACATGCTGACGTAGTTACAGATGAAATGTCTCAATGCCTGGCATTTGTTTCAGAACAGTCCAGAGAAGGGAGAGTAACTGAAACGAGATTAGCCATGTGTTAATAATTGTTGAAGTTGAGGGGTGGGGGAAGGCGCCAGTAGGGTTCGTTGTACTGTTCTCTCAACTTTAACACAGTTTGAAATGTCCGTTTCCATAGTACAAAGTTAAGAGAGAGAATATGCATAGGAAGAAAGAAACCGGAGACAATGTGGATAATTTTATTAAGTTTGGAGGAGCAGTGTGCCAATTACCGGAGGGAAAAATGGGGTCAGGAGAGGATGCTTTTCTGTTTGCAGGGAACAACTGTGTGTTTGCTCACTGCAGCGTCTGAACCCTCCAGAGGGGAAGCGATCATGGTAGAGGGAGCGTGGCGCTTCAGTCTGGGGCCAGCGCACCTGCTTCCATGTCTTGGGTCTTACCCTAATGCTGCTGTCCCTCAAGGAAAGGCAGCCGCCATAATCAAACAGGCAGCAGCAAATCCTTGGAACCGCAGTATCTGACCTGAGGAAGGATAACCGTTAGCAGGGATTCTGCCATGGGTATCAGGTGGTTGGACGGGGCCTCACTTCCCTTTCCATCTTGGGATTGCCCGCCTCATTGCAGAGGCCCAACCGCAGAGGCTGACTCCAGGGGAGCAGCCGGTGTCCCTTCCCCACCCCTCCCTGCCCCCACACTCAGTCACTGCTGATCGGACATGGATCGGACACCTGACGCGAAGAAGCCAATCAGCTGGCTTAGGAGCACCCTATGACATCTGCAGGCTGGGATGCACAGAGCTGAGGCCATTGGGTTTCCTCTCCCGAAAACTGGTCCTAAAATACAGAAACTGAAAGTCCGTAACAGGCACTATACTGAAAGAGCGTAACCTTCGGGTTGGCAGTGATGTGCAAGATAAAGTCACAAGGGAGGAGAAGTGAGCAAGTCCAAGGAGAGGAAATCTACAGAGCAAATGAAGCTGCAGGCGGCACGGGGACCAGAACACCCGGCCCCAGAGCTGGGAAGTTCCCTGCCGCGGTTTCCTTCAGGTTTCTGCTTCATGTTTCCCTCAGTATTGTTTCCCAACACTACTTTACATCAGGCCCAAGAATAATGAACTTCCTGTCCCGAGAGCATGTGATATCTTCTTGGCCTTCCTTTGAACTGCTCTATACCTGGAGACCATAAAATGGGAGCCAGCCCTTCCCACTCTTACTATTGTGGTTATGTCTTAAAGCTTCTGAATTCATGAATATTAATAGATGTACAAAAGGCAAACGCAGATGAACATTTATTCTATTATACAGCAGCAAAGCAGCAGGGGAGAAAAGTGATACAATGGCTTCCATTCTAATTTTATCATTAAGGTCACTTAATTTGGAATAAATTCACTTTAGATACAGTTGAAAGTATCTTTCCGGCTACAGTTACTCATTTACTGGGTAAAAACTGAAGCAAAACTGTTCCTACGCTCATGATCTAAGTCTACTATGGAAATTTTGCCAGGAAGAGCTGTTATGTAACTCCTACGAAGGGGACATTCAGTGTCTAAGCTGACTCAAAAGGCAAGGGAGGCATCCTAGGGCTTGCTATGTACGTGTGCAAAAATTAGCCGGAAAATACCTAGCTCTTCAAAGAAAATTCATACCTCAGAAACTTTCTTATAAAAAATGCACAGGCTGGATATAGTGGCTCAGGCCTGTAATCTCGGCACTTTAGGAGGCCAGGGTGAGTGGATCACTTGAGGCCAGGAGTTCAAGACTGGCCTACTCGGAGAAACCCTGTCTCTACTAAAAATACGAAAATTAGCCAGGTGTGGTGGCACGTGCCTGTAGTCCCAAGCTACTTGGGAGGCTGAGGCAGGAGAATTGCTTGAACCCAGAAGGCAGAGGTTGCAGTGAGCCGAGATGGTGCCACTGCACTTCAGCCTGGGTGACAGAGGGAGACCCTGTCTCAAAAGAAATAAAATGTACAATCACCCCAAACGAAATTTTGGAATAAAAAGAAATGAAGGAGGCTCTAGTTTATAGGATGCCTTTCTTTCTTGCCTTTCTAGTTTATCGGATGTTTTTCTTGATATAAAAAATGTCCTATCAAGCCCTTCACACAGCACATCAGTTAAAAAAATAAGCAGTCTCTGTTACAGATGTTCAAATATTTGTCTACTGGGGCCAGGCATGGTGGATATATAAATGGTGACAATGTAGTTTCTACCCTTAGGGGAAAGTCCCAGAGGCAGAACTTTTTCTGGAGGAGCCAGTCCCTGAGCTTGAGAGTGAAGGAGTGTGTCCCCGAAAAGCAGGACAGGACAAAGGGCATGTCCTGCACCGGGAATATTTTGTGTTCCTATTCTAAACAAGCTCAAGGCCTACAATCTGACTTTTGTTTACAAATACAGAACTCATATTTTAGCAATTTAGAAATACCGTGTTTTATGGAGGTAAGGCTCACAAAATGAAAGCCTGAGAACACTACTCCAGTGCAAATTTATCTTCATGATACCCATTTCTACTCTTACCTTTTTGTTCTTTCTTTTTTTTTGAGACGGAGTCTCACTCTGCCCCAGGCCACAGTGCAGTGGCGCCATCTCGGCTCACTGCAACCTCTGCCTCCTGAGTTCAAGCAATTCTGCCTCAGTCTCCCGAGTAGCTGAGATTACAGGCATGTGCCACCATGCCCAGCTAATTTTTGTGTATTTAGTAGAGATGAGGTTTTGCCATGTTGTCCAGGCTGGCCTCAAACCCCTGACCTCCGCTGATCTGCCCTCCCAGGCCTCCTGTTTGTTAAGTGGGTATTCCTTGGAATCACCTATGGGGCCAGGAAAGAAATAGAGGGAAAAGAAAGAAAGGTGGTAAGGAGGAAGGGAAGAAACCAGCGCTGTCCCAGAGGGTGTGTGCTAAGGTGCTGAGGGTGGGGGACACACAGGACTTTCACAGCAGAAAACAAAGAAACAAGCAGAGGCCCCAGGGGATTACGTGGTTCTTAAAGTTAGTCAACCTTTCTCTAATTCCTTATCACCATCCCTCAAGGAATCAGAGAAGATACCAACTGCAGCTCCTTCTCAGTAGACTGAGCCACCCACAGTGAGATAGCTCTACAATCAACCAAAATTTAACTTCACATTTATTGGGTGCAGGCATAACACTGCCCCAAGGCATGATGGAGCGATACAAGGCCAGGAAAGGTGGCTCACACCTGTAATCTCAACACTTTGGGAGGCCTAGGCACTTGAACTCAGGAGTTCGAGACCAGCCAGGGGAAGATGGTGAGACCCCCCCCCCATGTCTACCTAAAATTTTTAAAAATCAGCCAGGCGTGGTGGCACGTGCCCCTAGTCCCAGCTACTTGGGAGGCTGAGGTGGGAGGATAGCTTGAGCCCAGGAGGTTGAGGTCCACCATGATGATGCCAGTGCACTCCTGCCTGTACGGAGCCAGACCCTGTCCTATTAAAATGTGTGCGTGTGTGTGTGTGTGTGTGTACGCCCATGTGTGTAAAAAAACTGTATGTATGCATACATTCTGATAACTATTACTAAAATGCAAGACAGAGGTAACTACCACAATTGGTATCAAGTGCACTTTTTAATATGCCTTCACTATTCAACCACGGGCACCCATGGGCCAGAAAGAACAAACGCACCGTTAGCTCCGCTGCTCTGGAGAAAAGAAAGCTCACAACAAGCCATCCGATGCCTTCCTTCAACGGGAAGGAAACACCCTGACATTGGAAGTGGTCGCCACACCGCGTCCTACACTGATGCGGGAAGGAGGGGAGGGAAAGCCGGCCCCTCAACAGCAGTCACCAAAAAGGTGCTTTTAACTCTCAGTAGCAAGTATTAACATGTTCATTGATTGCTGCTAACAGCTATCCAAAGAAAGGTACACGTAAATGCCCCTTTTTAAAATATAAAAATAGCAAGGATTGTAAACATGGGGGTGGGGGGCCTGGGGAGAGCACACACCAGAAATCAATTTGGGCGGAATTTAGGCTGTTAAATGGACACACTTAGTAAACTCTCCGAGCTCCATCGCCCCCTGCTCTGGAAACATCGCCTCGCCCAGGAATTAGGACTCCCTGTACGTTCGCCTAACACCTGCGGCGGCCTCCGGCGACATCGTCGCCACAAGGACCGCGCAGGCACCCTCCCTGCTGGGCTAGTCCGGTCTCTGTCACTCAGCGCCTGTGACCTTGGGTAAACCGCTTAGCCTCAGTATTCTCATTCGTAAAATGGGAGTGAGAACACAGTCGTCACAGAATCGCAGCCAGAATTCGTTCGGTTCCACACGGTGCCCGACGTCCGTGCGAACCGGCGGGCGGGCGCGGCGACATTCAACAGTCAGGGAAGCGCGGGCCCCGCGGCCTGCGCGGTCAGCCTCGGAACGCCCTGCCATGCCGGGCACCGGGGAACGGACCCAGCTCCGCAGGGGGCCTCCACCTGCCGAGCCCGCCCCGAGCCCGCCAGCACCGTGGGGGCCGCAGGGCGCGGGGCCTCGGAGGGCCAGAGGCCGGCGCGGAGACAGCGACCCGGCGCCCACCCCGAGCGCCCCAAGCGCGGGCACCGCGTCCCCGGCGTCTCCCCGGGCTCCGGGGGCAGCAGCGCGGCTCGGAGCCCTTTACCTGCCGACGATCACCACGCAGCCGGCCGCGGAGGACGCCATGACTGGGCCGGGGACGCGGCGCCGCGGGGGCCGGGACCAGGCGCAGGCAGAGCTCCGCGCTCGGGGCTCCGGGGAGGGCGGGTCCCGCGCCCATTGGCTGCGCGCGCGGGCGGGGACGGCGGGGAGGGCCGCTGGGCCCCGGGGGTGCGCGCCGCGGGCCCGAGACACCCCGAGACGCCGCGCGGCGCCCCTCGGGGACAGGGGCAGGCCCAGCGCGGGGGCCCGTCGGGGGAAAGCGGGAAGACCGCGCGCTGGCGAGCCGGCAGGCACGTGAAGTCCGCGTCCGTAGGCTGGCACGGGGCCGGAGCGCCAGAGCACCCGAGAGAAACGGTCCGAGAACGTCCCCTTCGCTGGTTCGTCTCTGCAAGACGCCGGCCGTCGGCTGCGAACTGGGCGCGGGGACTCTGCGACAGCAGCGAGAGGGGACAGATGCGTTCATCGGCGCCACGGAAGGACACCCCTGACTCCGGCGCCGGGTGCTCCGCACTCGGCTTGGGTAGCAGAAAAAGGAAATGGCCTCGTGCCCGGACTCCTGGCCTTCCAGGAGCCCGGAACAGACCGAGAGGAAGGGGCATCGCACGCTGCCTGACGGCGGGGCGCGTCCACCCAGCACAAGCCGAAGGGGAAATGGCGGAGGGGACAGTACTCAGGCGGGAACCGCAGCCAACAGCGATGATTAATGGAGCTCTTCCTTCATTGGTTTCCCCTGAGTCAGGAACGTAGAAAGAGAAATCCCCGGGGAGGGGTTAGGTTTTTAAAGAACAGCTTCACAAATTATCAATAAATATTTGTAAAGTATTCAACCTCAAGAGACATGGAAAGTGACACAGGGAAGCTAAGTCATCCCTTACTCGTCAGATTGGCTAAGTCCCAAGGATTGATCATATTCCATATCTATGATGGAGCGTTTCCGACATGAAACTCATACACAGTAGAAGGCAGGCTTAATCGCGAAGGACTTTTTGGAGGGAATGTTGGACAGTTTATTCTTGAGAGAGCCGCCAGCCTGAGCACCCCTGTGTGCTCTGGCTGAGTACACAAGGCTCCAAAGCTTCCATCTCCTGATCGAACAGTTTCTACAGTTAGCTACACAGGCAGCTAATGTAATAGGTCAAGTAACCCAGGAGTGAGTATCCTGTGACTGCTCACTATGGGAGGCTGTGGAGTCAGGAGGCTGGCTTGTTTGCTGCTCCCTACAAAGTTTTCTCTTTGCTAAAATAGTAGGCTGGGCGCTGGGGCTCATGCCTGAGACCCCACCACTTTGGGAAGCTGAGTAGCAAATAATAACTTGAGGCCAGGAGTTCAAGACCAGCCTGGCCAACAAAGTGAGACCCCTGTTGCTACCAAAAAAATTAAAAATTATCCAGGCATGCTGGTGCTGTCTGCGGTCCTAGCTACTCAGTGGGCTGAGGCAGGAGGATTGCTTGAAGCCAGGAGTTTGAGACCAGCCTGTGGAAGATAGTGCAACACCCCCATCTCTAAAATATACATGTATGTGTGTGTGTGTATATACATATATATATATAACTTTAATCTTTCAGCTACCAAACAAAAATATATATATTTATTTAACTAGCCAGGTGTGGTAGTCCCAGCTACTCAGGAGGATCTCTTGAGCCCAGAGTTCGAGGCTGCAGCGAACTATGATTGTGCCACTCTACTCCAGCCTGGGTAACAGAACAATACTTTGTCTCAAAAGAAAGCAAAAAGTACTGGGCCCTTGCCCATTGCAAACACAGGAGTCATCTGGCCCTCTATGTAACCCTGTGGGAATTAGGAATTCAAGAACCCGTGTAAATATGGTGACACTGGCTATTGCTTTTACTATAATAAGTTCTTTTATATTTAATCCAAGAGTCTCCTGACTTCTGTCAGCATCCAAGTGCGGAACTATGTGGCAAGCTAACTCGTTCGTTAGCTTACAATTCCGTGAAAATCTCAGACCCTCGCAGTTTTTGACACATACAAAATTTAGAAAGCATGTACCCTTTGGCTAAGCAGTTCCAGTTCTAGAGATCTGTTGTACAGAAATTCAAGTGGACATGAAGTTAGACAAATTTCTTTATTTGAACATGGCTATTAATAGGAAATTATTGAAAACATGATGAATATCAATGAGAAATGTTTTTAAAGAGTACGGAATTCTTAGAAAATGTCTGCTTCTGGCCAAGAGGGAAAATAAGGATGAAACTTAAACTCCTTCTCGAAACAACTAGAAGGGCCCCCAAACAGAGGAAACAGGGATCTCAGACCGTGAACAAGAGGCAGCCTAGGACAGTTATCCCTGAGAGAGGGAAACAGACAAGGTGTGGGCTGCGGCTCCAAAAGGGAAAGCTCAGAGCTTGGTTTTCTCACTGAGTTGAAGAAAAAAAAGACTGAAGTTCAGAAAGGCCAAATAATGAGAATTTGCAGGGCATGATAGCAGAGAGGACACAGACACTCAGAGGAAAGAGGGAGCTCCAGGGCCCTAGAGAAGAAAGAGGCCCTTTTCACATGTTTGGCTCAGTGCTGAGCAAGAGGCCATCATATCCTGACGTCAGTTGTTCTCCAAGTCTGTTGGAACATTCTGTGGTTTGAGCTTTAGCAGGGGTTAAGTGCGATCCTCTCATCATCTTTCAACTCCGCTTTAGAAAGTCAGTCTTAAAGCCTTAATTACTTCATTTTCTTTCACACTCAGCAACCAGAAACAAACAAAAGTAGGCAAAGGACTTGAGTAGACACTTGTCCAGGGAAAATATACAAAGGGCTAGTAAGCACATGAAAAGATGCTGACCGTCACTCGTCATTAGGGACATGTAAATGAAAACCACAATGAGATACCACCTCACACACATTAAGATGGCTACTGTCAAAACAAACAAATGAAAAACAGAAAATAGCAAGTGTTGGTGAGAACGTGGAGAAATGAGAGACCCCTTATGCTGCTGTTGGGAATGAAAAATGGTGCGTAGCAGATACGATGGAAAATAGTAGGGCATTCCTCAAAAAATGAAAAATAGATTTACCAGATGATCCAGCAATTCCACTTCTGAGTATGTACCCAGAAGAAGTGAAAGTTTGTCTTAAACAGTTATTTGTAAACCCATGTTCATAGCAGCATTAATCACAACAGCCAAAAGGTGGAAGTAAGCCAAGTGTCCCTCAACGAATGAAAGGTAATAATGTCTTGGCTCTGTATCCCCAACCAAACCTCATCTCGAATTATGATTTCCATGTGTCAAGGCGGGAGTTGGTAGGTGGTGACTGGTTCGTGGGGTGGTTTCCCCATGCTGTTCTTGTGACCACGAGTTTTCACAAGATCTGATGGTTTTATATGCATCTGGCATTTTCCCTGCTTCCCTGACGCCATGTGAAGAAAGTCATTGTTACCACTTCACCTTCCACCATGATTGTAAGTTTCCTGAGATCTCTCTAGCCCTGTGCAACTGTGGGTCAATTAAACCTCTTTTCTTTATAAATTACCCACGCTTGGCAGTTCTTTATAGCAGTAAGAGAATGGATTAACACAAATGGATAAACAAAAATGTGGACTACACCTGCAATGGAATATTATTCAGCCTGAAAAAGGAAGGAAATTCTTATGGATGCTACAACATGGATGAAACTTGAAGACGTGCTAAGTAAAACAATTGAGACACAAAAGGAAAAAAAAATGTATAGTTTTACTTATATGAAGTACCTAGAGTAGTCAAATTCATAGAGACAGAAAGCGGAATGGTGGTTGCCAGGGTCTGTGGGAAGGAAGAAATGGGAAGTTTGGAAATAGAATTCCATTGGTACAAGATGAAAGCATTCTGGATATTGGCTCACAACAATGGGAATGTACTTAACACTACTGAACTGTACACATAAAAAATGGTTAAGGCCCGGCAAAGTGGTACATGCCTGTAATCCCAGCACTTTGGGAGGCCAAGGCAGTTGGATCACTTGAGGTCAGGAGTTCGAGAGTTCGAGACCAGCCTGGCCAACATGGAGAAATCCTGTCTCTACTAAAAATACAAAAATTAGCTGGGCATGATAGTGTTCACCTGTAATCCCAGCTACTCGGGAGCCTGAGGCACAAGAATTGTTTGAACCCAGAAGGCAGAGTCTGCAGTAAGCCAAGATCATGCCACTGCACTCCACGCTGGGTGATAGAGGGATACTGTGTCCAAAAAAAGAAAGTTAAGATATTAAATTTTATGTTATGTATATCTTACCAAAAATTTTTTAATAACCAAAAGACTTGAACCACACATTTCACCAAAAAGTTACATGGTTAACAAATAATCGTGAAAAGATACGTAATAATATCATTAGTCATTAGAGAAATGTTAATCAGAGCCATAAGGAGATACTACCACATACCTAACAGAATGGCTAAAGTTTAACAAACAAAACTGAGAATTCCGAGTGCCAGTGGAGGGGGTGAAGCAACTGAAACTCTCCTACATTGCTGGTGGAAATGCAAAATGGTACAGGGCACTTTGGAAAACAGTAGTTCACAGCTACTCGAGAGGCTGAGGCTCAAGAATTGCTTGAACCCAGAAGGCAAAGGTCCCAGTGAGCTGAGATCACACTACGGCACTCCAGCCTGCGAGACCCTGACACACAGACACACACACACACAGACACACACACACACACACAAACACACACACACACACACACCAGGCTCAAAGGGCTGTATACTGTGTGATTCCATTTATATGAAATTCCAGAAATGATAAAATGATTGAAATAGGGAATAGATCGGTGAGCACCAGGAGTTGCAGGTTTGGCAAAGGATTAAATACAAAGAAGCAGAGAGAGGGGATTGAGAGGGGAGCAGAACTGTTCTGTGTCTTTTCGGTAGTGCGTAGTTACACCATGCATCTGACAGAACTCTTAGAATTACTTGAATATTTTAAAATAAATACATAAAATATTTAAATTGTGGGATGGAGCTTTACAGTTCTTACTGTACCATTAAATGCCAATATTAGAAAAGAGAAAGCTCTCAAATCCATGATCAAATTTCTACCTTTAAAAATTAGAAAAAGGAAAGCCAATTAATCTCAAAGTTATTAAAAAGGAGAGTACAGAAATGTAT